AGTACACTATTTGGGTCACATTGTTAGCGCTGAGGGCATCGCCACGGATCTGGATAAAACGGCCTGTGTGTAGGTGATGTGCCCAGTTTCATTTGCTTTGCGTAATACTACCATAGGTTTGTGCCGCAATTTGCTACGGTCGCCAAACCCTTGCATGCTTTGACTGCTAAGAATCAAAGGTTCCGGTGGGGTCTGGAGAAAGAGGCTGCGTTTTTAGCCCTTCATGAGCAGCTGTCTGACGCGCCCACCCTCAAGTATCCCAATTTCTCCCTGCCATTTATCCTGGACACTGACACCAGTGACACAGGCATAGGCGCCGTTTTGTCTCAATTTAAAAACGGGGTTAAGAAGGTGGTCGCGTACGGCAGCCGTGTCCTCTGCCCCGCAGAACGTCGTTATTGTGTCACTCGGAGGGAATTATTGTTTATTTCATCCGACAATACAGGCCTTACCTCTATGGCAGGGAGTTCATTGTTCTTACGGATTGCGCGACCCTCCAGTATTCCCTGAAGGTCGAACAACCTTCTGGCCAACTTTCGCGTTGGCTTGAAATCTTTCAGCAATTCTCGTTCCGCGTGATATATCGGAAGGGTGCTTGACATTGTTGCCTCAATCGCCTCGTTGTCCATGGACCCTCTGTGTTGCAGCCGGCTGCTGTTATGACTGTGGTTGCTGGTTCGGAGCCTGCTGGGCCGGTTGTGCCGGTTGATAGCGTGTTGCAGCTTGCATACTCTGCTTAGGTGCACGAGCTGCTGAATGACGATTCCTTAGGAGTCTTGCGGGGTCGCGCGGAAAATGCACGGGAAACTATCGCGTCATGACGGCCTTTTGATGTGGAGAGAGGATCGCTGGCGGCTTGTCGTCCCCACCGCTCTCCGGTGTGACTTTGTTCGCGCGCTGCACGAGGATAAGCTGTTGCACCTCGGTGTCCAGAAGTCCCTCTTGACACTGCAGCGTGACTATTATTTGCCAGGGATGACAGCCGATGTTTCCAGATGGATCCAAGGATGTGTTGAATGCGCACACAGGAAACCGCTGCAGCGGAGGTCCCATCCGCCGCTGCAATCCATTTCGGTTTCGCGTATCAACGAATTGGTGGCGCTCGATATCCTTGAGCCCTTTCTGGCCACGCCACGGGGGAATACATTTCTTTTAGTGGGGGTTGAATATTTTTTCCCGATGGCCTATGGCTTGGCAGCTGCCTGACCAGTCGGCGGCCTCCATTGCAGAGGCGTTTTTTACGGTTATGTGACAGACAATGTTTACTGACCAGGGGCGCAATTTCTCGTCTAAATTGCTGTGTGTGGTTTGCGATGCTTTGGGTACGAGGAAAATTAAGACGTCGCCATACCACCCACAGACGGATGGGATGTTGGAGCGCTTGAATAGAACTTTGACCTCCATGCTCTGTCAGGCGGTCGACGCTGGGCAGACGGATTGGGATTTTTATGTGCCGAGTGTACTCGCCACGTAGAGGATGGCCCCTCATACTTCCATGGGGTTTTCACCATTTTTTCTCATGTATGGGAGGGAGAATGTGCCCCCTATAGATGCCCAATTGGGTTTGTCACTGGATAAAAGTCTAGATTGTCTGAGCATTTGCAATTTTCGAAACAGCGGATTTCTACGGCTCGAGAGGCAGCCAGAATTAACGCCGCCAAAACACAGGTGCGCAATGAACATAATGCGGGGAAGCGGGATCACGTGTTGCCGTGGTCCATCGGTGACAAAGCAAGGTTGCATTGCCCCCAGGTGCTGGTCGGTACATCTCCTAAGTTACATAAGCCCTGGCAAGGACCTGTGGAAGTGGTCGAGGTGAAATGGCCGCAATGTGTGCGTATCCGGGTGGGCCGTTGGTTCGTCCATCCTTCTCGGTTGAAGCCATTTGTCCCTCCATGTACCGCCTCTTCATCTCCAACGATTGGCCTGCCGGTATCTGATTTGTCCGACGGGCCGGGGATGGTGCGATCGGAGGGCGTGTGTCGGAAGGACTGTTTCGTGCCGTCCACAGGATCTGGGCCTGTGACTGTGGATGGGGCTCAGGACCTCGCCAGGATTGAAGATGCGCCTGCTGCTACTGAGCCTGCTGCTCCTGTGCCTCCTGTGCTGCAGTCCACGCCCCCGATCGATCCGGTGGGAGCAGGAGGCCGTCCCCGTTGACGGGCCAGTGTTGCGGACTCGGTCCAAATGCTTGCGGTTCTGTTGATCCTTGCTCTGGAGTTGCTCGGGAATGTCGGAGTGTCTAGGGTTGTTGCGTTTTGTTCCCTTCATCTGTCGTGCCCCTTATATATCCCCTTCTTGCCGTGTTCCCTCGTATTGCGGGCTATTTGTTCCACGTGTTGTCCCGCTCTTTAAGGCACACGTCCCGAGTCCTCTTTTACACCTTTTTTATTGTCCATCTTATGCTGCGCGTATGTGCTCTTACATGTTACTTGAATATTAGCCGGGACGACTACTTTTTTTCTGACAGGGGGCGGCAGGGGGTGATGTAATGAGATAATGACATCTATTGGTAAGGGAAGCACGGGTACAGGCACCACTATAAACGTTATCCAATCCCCAAAGGGAGAGGTATCTTGGCCAAAGATGAAGGGCGGGGCCGGCCGAGAAACTCCGAGAACCGGCTAGCATGTTCCACGAGAGGGCGTTGCCGGAGTCGGAGCCTAGCCGCACCTGTAGCAATATAAGTGGAGGCGGAGGACGACTCGGGGTCGGTGTGTGGAGTCTTGGGTCCGAACTGCGTCGCTATTCGCCGTCATCTCTCTCCGTCGTTCGGCCACGTGGCGGATCTCCTGCGGAGCTCCACCGCCCTCCCCAGCATGCCGCCAGCAAGTGGCGAGACCGGGAGCGGACGGGCAGAACCCGATATGTGATCAACCATGTGTGTGGTCTGAAGAACGTAATAGCTAAGTGTGTATTTGGAGAGGAAGCCGATGTTGGCCTGTGCTGTGCCCTTACGTGGAATAAAGAAGAGTACCCTCTACACGACGTGTCGCGGAAGTCTCTCATTACCAATGTTATGATTTACACCCTTCCAACAGATGCAGCACTCTCACGGCACTACTATTTAGCACGTCGGCTTTCATGTCCAATGTCATCCATAATACAGGTTTTTTTTGGGTTAGATCTCGATCTAATCCCAAAAAACATGTACAGTGAGGGAAAACAAGTATTTGATCCCCTGCTGATTTTGTACGTTTGCCCACTGACAAAGAAATTATCAGTCTATAATTTTAATGGTAGGTTCATTTGAACAGTGAGAGACAGAATAAAAACAAAATCCAGAAAAACGCATGTCAAAAATGTTATGAATTGATTTGCATTTTAATGAGGACCCCTCTGCAAAACATGACTTAGTACTTGGTGGCAAAACCCTTGTTGGCAATCACAGAGGTCAGACGATTATTGTAGTTAGCCACCAGGTTTGCACACATCTCAGGAGGGATTTTGTCCCACTCCTCTTTGCAGATCTTCTCCAAGTCATTAAGGTTTCGAGGCTGACGTTTGGCAACTCGAATCTTCAGCTCCCTTCACAGATTTTCTATGGGATTAAGGTCTGGAGTCTGGCTAGGCCACTCCAGGACCTTAATGTGCTTCTTCTTGAGCCACTCCTTAGTTGCCGTGGCCGTGTGTTTTGGGTCATTGTCATGCTGGAATACCCATCCACGACCCATTTTCAATGCCCTGGCTGAGGGAAGGAGGTTCTCACCCAAGATTTGACGGTACATGGCCCCATCCATCGTCCCTTTGATGCAGTGAAGTTGTCCTGTCCCCTTAGCAGAAAAACACCCCCAAAGCATAATGTTTCCACCTCCATGTTTGACGGTAGGGATGGTGTTCTTGGGGTCATAGGCAGCATTCCTCCTCCTCCAAACACGGCGAGTTGAGTTGATGCGAAAGAGCTCCATTTTGGTCTCATCTGACCACAACACTTTCACCCAGTTGTCCTCTGAATCATTCAGATGTTCATTGGTAAACTTCAGACGGGCATGTATATGTGCTTTCTTGAGCAGGGGGACCTTGCGGGTGCTGCAGGATTTCAGTCCTTCATGGCATAGTGTGTTAGCAATTTTTTTCTTGGTGACTATGGTCCCAGCTGTCTTGAGATCATTGATAAGATCCTCCCGTGTAGTTCTGGGCTGATTCCTCACCGTTCTCATGATCATTGCAACTCCACGAGGTGAGATCTTGCATGGATCCCCAGGCCGAGGGAGTTTGACAGTTCTTTTGTGTTTCTTACATTTGTGAATAATCGCACCAACTGTTGTCACCTTCTCACTAAGCTGCTTGGCAATGGTCTTGTAGCCCATTCCAGCCTTGTGTAGGTCTACAATCTTGTCCCTGACACCCTTGGAGAGCTCTTTGATCTTGGCCATGGTGGAGAGTTTGGAATCTGATTGATTGCTTCTGTGGACAGGTGTCTTTTATACAGGTAACAAGCTGATATTAGGAGCACTCCCTTTAAGAGTGTGCTCCTAATCTCAGCTCGTTACCTGTATAAAAGACACCTGGGAGCCAGAAATCTTTCTGATTGAGAGGGGGTCAAATACTTATTTCCCTCATTAAAATGCAAATCAATTTATAACATTTTTGACATGCGTTTTTCTGGATTTTGTTGTTGTTATTCTGTCTCTCACTGTTCAAATAAACCTATCATTAAAATTATAGACTGATTATTTCTTTGTCAGTGGGCAAACGTACAAAATCAGCAGGGGATCAAATACTTTGTTCCCCTCACTGTATTATGGATTATTGTGCTGTAGCGCTGTCCCGAAGCGTTGTACACACGTTGTACCGCGTGTTGTTTGGCACGATGTCCAACGTTTCACGCAGCATGCTGAAAACGAATAAAAAAAACATCCCGAGCACGTGGGGAGAGAAACGTCGGAACATCGTGTGCCGGACGAACGGGCGGTAACAACATAGCAATGGGCCTCGTGTGCTCAAGTAATGATGACCCATTCCGCGAGCGTTGAGAAACGTCTGCACGCCTCCCTTACCTGCGGTGGCGATCTGAAAGCAACGACGTCTGGTTGCCGCTGCAGGTCGCCCTCTCTCGTTTGCAGCGGTCACCTGAAGGCGGGCGACACGGCGACGGTGATGACAAAAGCACGCCTGCTGCCTCTCCTCCCTCCTCCTACAATGCCACCTAAAACAAAGCCCCCCCCCCCCCTTCTCTTCTGAAATCCCAGCTCCTCTCTCAACTCCTCACTCCCGCGCGCGCGCGCTGCCTCTCTCTGCGTTTCTGAGCCGGCTCCCCCCAAACCTCTCGCGTCTGTGGTGCCCACGAGACAGGCCGCGTTCGGTCGCTTTTTTATTCTTGCCTACAACAATAACAAAAGAGAAGTGGGGGGTAGAGATTGTCGAGTGAGGCAACACCGAGGTGGTGTGGACGGGTGCGGCTTCTGTAGAAGATCACCCCGGAGTGTAAAACAACGTGGACACCAACCACAGAAGCAACGACGTTATCTATGTTTGCCCTGCTGATGGATGTCCCCCCTCTGTTTAACCAGATTGCAGCCCAGCGGTATTTACAAGTCTCCTATACAAGGGATGTGAAGGTGAGCTCGAGTGGGCAATAACCTGTTCCAACGTAGAATGGAGGCAATGGTAGTCTTCGATACGCTGATAATCTTTTAATTGACAAAACTGGTAATCCGCATGTGGAATTTTTTTTTTAAATACAACTTTCAGTTACGTTTCCACCTTCCACTTCACTGTAGACACATCACTGCAGGTGCTTTCTCACTAACCTACAACCTGCCAACTTCTTCTCGCAACCCAGCAGTAAGTTCCCTTCACCGCATCTCTCACTTTCACATGTGCTTCTGCGGCCGTCTGGAACGCTCTTCCTTGCGATATTGGGAAGCGACTGGAACTAAATGCACTTTTCAATCTAGATTGAAAACTCATTTCTTTATAACTGTTTTGTTTGGTTAGTTGTCCTTCCCCGCACTTCCAATTGGTACGGTTGGCTACGTACGGTGCGAAAGAAGTTCAACGTACTGTACATACATACAAGCCGGATCCTGGTGATTTAGAACCAGACGGTTGAAACCAGTCCATAGTTTTACTTAATTGACTGCTGCTGGGGTAAAATCGATCGGTCTGAAAACACAATCGGCAGACGGACTGGATGTATATACAATATTTGTAATTATATCTGGAGACATAACACAATGAGTTTGTATACAATGGTAATTAAACTGCTTTTGATGGTGCACACTGCTCATTACTTGAATACAGTCTGACCATAAACGTCGTCGGTTTAATGTTAGCAAAATCGGACTTTAGAACGAAATTAACGAAAACAATGCGCGTGCGTGGTTTGTAAATGATTAGCTCGTGAAATGTTGACACGACGCGTGGCTCACACAGAGCCGGCACGAGGGAGGTGCCAGGGTTGGGGCTCCCCCCCCCACCCCCCCCTCCACCCCCCCCTCTCCACCCCCCCTCTCCACCCCCCCTCCACCCCCTCCACCACCTCTCCACCCCCCCTCCACCACCACCACCTCGCCACCCCCCACCCAGTTGGCTCTCACAGCCCTGGTGCCCCACCAAAGGCAAAGACCCCCTCGTGTAGTAGCAGCCTGTAACAGACATCTGTGGCACGTGCTGTTAGCCACTAGCACCCACGAAGGCCGGCACGGCACACGAGGGGGCAGCGGTGGTACAGCACCACGCGCGGCCGCCTTTGTCTCCCCCCCCCCGGTGGCGATGTTCACTCACACAGCGCACCAGGTACTTGTTTAAGGTTGAGTCGACCTAGGGGAGGCCCAGGACCGGTGCAGATAATCGTCACTTTCTGTTGGTCGTGAACGGGAATCGAACTATTTTGGTGATTTCGAAAACGTTTTGGTTTAGCCATATTTGTTTGTTGTAGTACAGAGTTAGACTGATAACTTTAATCGAAATTGTCTTATGGGTTTTTGATTTAAAGCTTTCGTGACTGCAGGGATTCATATTCTTGGTTCTTTCGGTAAAGTCACCACCACGTAGAAGGGAAACAATAAAATAATAAAAATATAAAACAATAAAATTCTCACGACGTTTCGACTGCAACACAAGCAATCATCATCAGGTGTGAAAACAAAGAATATGTCTTATGGGTGTTATTGTTTGACTTGCATCCCACTGGGATTTTTGCACACAACATTGATACACGGTGTTTTTTCTGCAAGACTTTGCTGTTTTTTTCCTGGATTTTCTGTTGCTTGTAGTCACTTTAAGATGTTTTCTTGTTCATGTTTTTGTTTGTTGTGGTTGCACCCGAGTCAAGAGTCGAATGGCTCACAGGGTTATACCTAATAAATGAAACTGAAAACTGAAAGACAAAGATACCCCGTGTAGCCTTAACAGACTATAGGGGCAAGTGCTGTTAGCGAGCACCTATGAAGGCCGGCACGGCACACGAGGGGGTGGGTGGCCAGCACCACACCCGGCCGCCTTTGTCTCCCCAGTGGCGATGTTTACACACCGCACCAGGTACTCATTTGAGGCTGAGTCGACCTAGGGGGGGGGGGGAGGGGGCCCAGGACCGATTCAGACAATCGTCACCGGTGTTGGCCGTGAACGGGAATTGAACTCGGGTCGCCGGGTTCGCAGCGCAGCGCTAACCGCTGCACCACCGCCCCCCACACACGGGCACGCGCGTGCGTGCGCGTGCACACACAAACCCCCTCCCTCACTCCCGGCGACAAGCGGTGACTCATTTACATTTGGTCGGGGGAGTTCCGCGGTTCAGTTTGCAACTTCGCGTTTGCAATTCGATGTTAAAAACGTGTGACGCCCTGACAACGGTTGTTTAAGGGCGCTTTATAAATTATTATTATGATTCCGTCATGGAAGCTGGTTCGTAAGTGTGGATGTTCGGAAGTCGGGTGTTCGTAAGTCGGGTGGCCGTAAGTCGGGTGTTCGTAAGTCGAAGACTTAATTAGTCGCGTTACCCGGCGAATGCTGTCGCGTGGCTCACAAATGTAAAACATTACGTCTTTCCATGATGCTGAAAATTAAAAAAAAGAGAAATGAGCGCCCGGCCAAAGGGAAACATTCACACCCACGTTCCCGGCGGGAGGCCGCGCGTGGTCTTTGCACAGCAACCCCAAGAAGTCGCCCACCTAAGGGAGCGGACCACGTCTCCTCGGGCATCAAGGCTGCTTCACTCTGACCGCGGTCTCCCGCAACTTTCCTTCGTGAACGTACAAGCTCACCACGTGGCTAGCAGCCCGCAGCGATACGGGCAGCTGATTTCGAGTCAGTGTGCACTCGTCTCAGAAGGACATCTTGACCTGTAAAGTGTGTATATCCAACAAAATATGATCATTTGCAGACAGCCCATGATCAATCAGTCCACTGCTGGATGAATGCTTCCGCACGCCACGTCGTTCATGGAGGTCGTTCGGTCATAATTCACTTTGGGGCTTGTCACCTTTGTGCCACAAAAACACCGGGGCATATAATGGGCAGAAGAATATCCTGCATTACCAGAAGATGCATTGTCTTGACTGGTGTATCACTATACAGCTGGCAACATCCGGGGCCTTTGATGACCCAGGAAGACTTATACATTGCCCAGGACAGCTGTCCTAGGAAATGGATCCTGGGGAAAAAAACCAGAACACGTTGCACAATCATATTCACCACGCTTCTCGTTTTGGTTGGTGAGGAGCAAAGTGAATATCTGCAACCTGCATTCAAGCAAAACCATGAATGTTATTACAATTTTTTTTTTATTTAACTAGATAAGGCCCACTGAGCTATATTGCTCTTTGTCAGCAGCGACCTGGCCACAAATGGTAGCTCAACGGAGTGCCTTATCACGTGGACAAGCGGCCAAATGCATGTTGATTCTAAATGTAGAGGGGGGAAATCGGAGGACCCAGAGAAAAATCGGAAGGGATGCAAACTACAAATATAAGGGCATCGTCATGGTCGGGATCCAACCAACGACCTCCTGCATACCAGGCGAGGGAATTAACACCTCGCCACCGTGGCATCCACTGACACGCCGCCGCTGTATTAACCACGGCGGCCGCTGGATTCGATCCGCGAACCAATGTAACGTTCTAGTCACAGTTCTTCATCCAAGCAGCCAAGGACGATATTGAGATTTGGGTTGGCTTTTCAAAAGCGGACCTGTATATACAGTGCCATTGAAACAATTTCGTTTTGCTTTTCACAATTCATATTTGAGGTCATGACATTGGCAAATAAAGGCTGACCATCGTAACTCGTCTTGCATGACATTTGTAGTGACATCTCAGATGTCACTGTGTGGTGCCGGCCCTAGAGGGGCACGGCATGCGATGTACTCACATAGCGGACATGACGTATGTAGCGGCATTGTGAGTGTCGCTGAATAATGCCAGCTCTAGCGAGGCACGGCGTACGATGCATTGTTATCGCAGATACCCCTTAGGTGGGTGTAGTACCAGCCCTAGTGGAGGCTCGGTGAGCGCTGGGATAGCACAGTGGCATCACGCGTGACGTGCAGTGCTGACTCCTACAGGAGGGAGTGTGAGAGTGTCAGCCATGGGATGAGGTTACCCTGGGCCATGGCACTCTGGTTGACTCCGGAAGGCACGTGACGAGTAAGATCTACACAGGGGCCCCAGGTGGGGGCTAGGGGGTGGTCACGTGCCAGAGTAAGATCCGACGGGAAGGATCGGGAAACGACAAGAGGTTTCTGGAAGGTGGTCGTGGCCAAGGGCGGGGCCAGCCACGACCCGGGAGCATAGAAACCGGGTCCCCACCAGGGACCAGGGTTCAGTGTTGCTACTGTCATCTGAAGATCTATAATCTATGTTCAACGTCGTCCAAGAAGTCACCAACACGTGGGCGAGGACCCAAGCCTGGGTCCTGTCCGTTACTCCCAGTATTTAGCGTAGTTAGCCTGGTGGTCCACCACCATAGGTTATCTAGTAAAAGGGCAGTAACCCCTTTGTGCTATGTGTTGGTGTTAATAAATATGTGTTGCCTCCAGAGAGTAAGTCTGCGACTCCGTTGAATCCACTACAACTGGTGTCGGAAACACTATTATTCTTACTTAGCTAGCCGTCTACGCGCCGCAGACTACGTACCAGGACATCGGAGGATGAAAACGAAGATCTCGTCCCGCAAACAGCTCCGGAGGAGGGACGTGAAGCGTTGCCGGCGGAGCAGAGGGCCGACCGGCCACGTGACTGCTCCACGCCGACGGGGAGGCTGCTCCAGGCTGCACACGGCCGCCTCGCAGCGCTCCTCCACACCGCGGCATCCATTCTCACGGAGCTCCGCATCGTTGAGTCAGTGGTGGAAGCGGGAGCAGCGGAGCCAAGCAGTGACGAGTTTCCCACCGCCATTTCCCGCCAAGCGCAAACCTCCGCGGCACAGCCCGCGCCGGCAGCCGTAATCTTCTCCAAAGAGCGGAGCGCGGGACCCGCCAAATCCGAAGTTGCATCGAAATCGCCGGTCGACGTCCCATCTCTCCGGCAACGACTTCCTTTCGTCAAATAATTTACAGGCGCCAGAGGCGACTGGGTGGCCTTCAATGGAGCATGGAACCCGCCAAATCCGAAGTTGCATCGAAATTGCCGGTCGACGCCCCATCTCTCCGCCGACGACTTGCTTTCATCAAAGAATTTACAGCTGCTGGAGGCTACTGGGTGGCCTTCAAGCGACAGTTCCTGACAAACGCCAACTTGGCGGGGTGGACGGAGGCGGAGGCGCTGAGATCGCTGCCCACCGCCCTTGATGACGATGACCTGGCAGCGTTCCTTATCATCCTGTCATCGGAGAGGGCCACGTTGACTCAAGCCTTCCACCAAATGGCAACCATTTATGAGCCGCCATCCAACGTGCGCCACAAGTTCGCTCCGTGAAAGATAGGGGAAACTGAGACACCCCTTGCCTTCCATAGTGCACTTCTGGCACTTGCGAAGGCTGCGAATCCAAAAATGGATAACGACGGAGTCGACTCGTTGGTCCTTGAGAGACTGCTGGCTTTGGCTAAGGACCTCAACATCGTTTTGCCGGCCGTGGACAATGACGATCTTTCGTCCATCAGGGTTGCGAAATGCATCCAGGCTCACCAGCTCCTGCAACGGCATAAGGGATTGGTGGCGTGTTCCGCATCTGACGAGGGGCCAGATACACCTGTAGATATGGAGCCCGTCACAGCCTGCGCATTGACCCAGAATGGAGGTGGGCGAGGGGACGGCATGGTGCAGTGGGCGGACGACCAGCGACGGCGGAAGACATCTCCTCGTCCCGGGAGCAGCCCCGTCGTGTGCTACAGCTGCGGCCTGCCAGGACACGTCTCGTCGGGCTGCCGCGTACCACGACGACGC